TGAACAAAATCTTACTACGTTAACTCGGACGGAATGACGCGAAAGAGGCCATACAAAAGTAAGAGGGAACGAGGATGGCCGAGAATTGAAAACATTTAAAACCATTTTGAAATGACAAAAATTGAATATTTCAGGCTCAATTTTCAGCATGGATAAAATGAACGTGGATGCCACAGTTGCGTGGGGTACTGTGGCGTGAATATTTAACTAATACACAGCTTTTTTTCCGATTGTAAAGTACAACTATACAAGGAAATCATTTCCCTGTATCTTGAGGTCTAAGAAGAGTAATTTAATCGATTTAAGTCGCAGAAATTTAGATCGAAACCGCATCCGATAGCAAGGTCATTTAATCGACACTGAGTGTAAAAAGTTTAAAAGCTGTCCGTGGTTACAAATAGTACAGTCGTTGTTTACCTGCTGCATATTCAAACAGTACACCTAGAGCGCTGCCGGCTTCTCGAACGTACTTCGGATACATGCAACGAAGAATGGTCTGCTTCCGTGTTCAAATTTGGTGTGGTTGAGGTATGACAGGATATTTTGAGTGATTTTTTGATGTGTTAAACCACTGACTTCCTTTTAATGAACGCTTTGAACAAAATCTTACTTCGTTAACTCGGACGGAATGATGCGAAAGAGGCCATACAAAAGCAAGAGGGAACGAGGATGGCTGAGAATTGAAAACATTTAAAACCATTTTGAAATGACAAAAATTGAATATTTCAGGCTCAATTTTCAGCATGGATGAAATGAACGTGGATGCCACAGTTGCGTGGGATATTATAGGTTCCGGTTCTCTAGATTGGAAAGAAATTTATTCGAGTAAAGCAAACTCGCAGAAATTTCAAGCGAAGCACGGTCGATGAAAGCGAGGTCGTTTGATCAACACTTGTTGAGTGGATGTCAATATTTCTTTCATGTTGCATAACGATATATTGACGACTGAACTGAACTAACTCCGTGCCCGCCATTAATATGGAAAGAGATTTACTGGAGTAGAGCTACGAAAATTCCGCCCGTAGCAGAATTCATTGAAAAAAGTTTTGGAAAGCTGTGCGTGAATATTTAACTAATACACAGCTTTTTTTCCGATTGTAAAGTACAATTATACAAGGAAATCATTTCGCTGTATCTTGAGGTCTAAGAAGAGTAATTTAATCGATTTAAGTCGCAGAAATTTAGGTCGAAACCGCATCCGATAGCAAGGTCATTTAATCGACACTGAGTGTAAAAAGTTTAAAAAGCTGTCCGTGGTTACAAATAGTACAGTTGTTGTTTACCTGCTGCATATTCAAACAGTACACATAGCGCGCTGCCGGCTTCTCGAACGTACTTCGGATACATGCAACGAGGAATGGTCTGCTTCCGTGTTCAAATTTGGCGTGCTTGAGCTATGACAGGAAAATTTGAGTGATTTTTTGATGTGTTAAACCACTGACTTCCTTTTAATGAACGCTTTGAACAAAATCTTACTACGTTAACTCGAACGGAATGACGCGAAAGAGGCCATACAAAAGCAAGAGGGAACGAGGATGGCCGAGAATTGAGAACATTTAAAACCATTTTGAAATGACAAAAATTGGATATTTCAGGCTCAATTTTCAGCATGGATAAAATGTAAGTGGATGCCACAGTTGCGTGGGGTACTGTACGTTCCGGTTCTCTAGATTGGAAAGAAATTTACTCGAGTAAAGCAAACTCGCAGAAATTTCAAGCGAAGCACGGTCGATGAAAGCGAGGTCGTTTGATCAACACTTGTTGTGTAGATGTCAATATTTCTTTCATGTTGCATAACAATATATGGACGACTGAACTGAACTAACTCCGTGCCCGCCATTAAAATGGAAAGAGATTTACTGGAGTAGAGCTACGAAAATTCCGCCCGTAGCAGAATTCATTGAAAAAAGGGTTGGAAAGCTGTGCGTGAATATTTAACTAATACACAGCTTTTTTTCCGATTGTAAAGTACAATTATACAAGGAAATCATTTCGCTG